ACAGTCCCATGACAAGTATCCAGTGCCTTAAATGAAGTAGAATAGCCTCACGTCCAGGCTGTCCCCACTGACCTCGCAGCACTTGCCTTTGCATTTGCATGGGCATAACCTAAGTGACAATTTAGCCAGCTCAGGGCCGCTCAGCTCTTGTTTCTCTCAGCATGAGATGATTTTCCTGGGATGTGGCAGGAAGGACAGAGATTCCAATACCCTCCTTATCTCAAATACACTTTGCCTTGTCCACCCAGCTACTAGCCACGTTGGTATGTCCTGTGTTAGGGTTTGCCTTGCCTTGCCCAACAGAGCCCCAGACCTGCCTCTGTCTGACATAGCTTACCACGGGTGGTTTCCACAGGGCGGCAGGGTAAGGGCGGGTAGCTTGTTCTATTTGTATGTTTACAGGGAATGAAAGCCAAACTGGGAAAGGACTTTGGTACAGTGCAGCCAAGTGACTACAAAGTACTTCTTTAAAAAGCCACAAGGTCACCTCTACTGACATTTGGATAAGGATTTTATAGAAGTCACAGGACTGGGAGATCGGCTTGTTGTGCCTACAGTCACAGGGGAGGAAGGGATTTATGTGCTGGCTTGTTGTGACTCTTTCATGTTCATAAATGCCCATTTATTAGCCTATTGGATCAAAAAGGCTGACTGGGATTTCTCTTCTCACTTACTTAGTTCTAGATGGCTTCCTTAAATGTGCCAGCACCTCTTCATGAGATTTAACAGCCCCTTACTTAACAGTATTCTTCAGGTGCTGTGTTCTTTCAGAATCTGTCTTCTTGCTTGGTTAGATTTAGCAAAACTCGGTTCCCTGGCCATACTTCATTGAAGCGCAATGTGAGAACTAATATATATCATCCTCTCAGATGAAGAACCAGCACACAAGCATGATGGAATCTGACAGATTTGGACAGAGGGGCTTTGCTAATGATGTGTGTTGTGAACCTGTGGCTTGTATATGGATACCCATGTGTGTGCTCAGTTTGAGAAACAGCACAGCCTCTGATCTTTAAGCCCTGTGCAGCCTGAACAAGCAAGGATGGGGTGCAGCCTTGAGCAAGCCTGAGAGGAATGAGTAGACGAAGGAGGAAGACATGCTCTGATGCCATGGACCTTCTGGAAAAAAAAGTTATGGGCAAGTTAAGTGTTACATCAAAGAACCACCTGGCTCCAGCACTGGTTTCTCTTCCTCAGTGGCATAACATATGGGACAGATTTTGGCCATGTAGTAGAAAATGTAGGGATCATGACAAAAATAATCCTCATCTGAAAGCATGGGGTACACGTAAGCCTCTGAGCCTTCTTATTTGAGTGCCATATAGACATTGCATCCTTTAGGCACTGTCTGTGCTTCAATACCCAGAAACCAGACATATCTGGTGTGACTGTGATGCGGACTTGAAACTTCCCTGCCATTTTTTATGTTAGCCCTGCAGGGAGATGCAAACATGAAGAACGTCACAAGCTTCATGCTAATGTGCTAAATATTTAACATAAATAGCCACTGAAGCCCCATCCCTTTTTCCCACTGAGGTGACCAAGAGACAGGTCACAGCTTTAGTAGTATGGTCCCCAGCACTTGCTCCTTGATGCCACTTGACGTTGGCAGGTGTGTTGGAGCCAGGCAGGCAGAAGTAAAGACAAGGGGGACAGGCAGTGCAGCCTGCAGTGTTGTTGTGTCCTGACTGGCTCATTTGCACAGTGCCTGGGAAACAAGGGCCTGCTCCTCGTGTCTGAGATTCTGGTGAGTCACCAGCATCTGACACCGAAGCCCCAGAGGACGCAGACAGGTCACTGGCTTGGTGCCATGGGGAGCTCTGCCACGCAATGGAAACCGCGGCAGCAGGGAGAAGAATAGCATGTCAAGTGCAAAGCAGCAAAGGGGTTTTTCAACCTAAGTGTGGGTGCATGTGCATAACCCATTTTCTGCCAGAAACAGCATTATTAGCATAAAATAAATAAATAAAATTTGCAGGAGTTCATGAGAAGCATAGGAAAGCAGTAAGCCTGACCTGGCTGCAGTCGATGAGTACGTGCTGGAGCAAGGAGGCTGGCAGCCACACAATCTACATCCCATTGTGTGACCAGGAACATGTATGTGACACCAAATGCTGCTAACAGGAAGGGAGGACTGGGCACAAGTCCCTGTGACCCATCCTCCTTATGTAAGGCTATTCCTGGAAATGAGGCAGGAAAATTTCTGGGCTTACACTGATATGGTTTATCTCCACTAAGGGACTTTGTCTCCTACATAAATCAGAAAAGCTACGTGTGCTAGTAGCATAGTGGAAAGGGTGACTCCAGCAAAGATGCTGAATCAATATAGAATGGAGCTGAAAAATCCTTTCCCCACCTCTAGGAATCTTCCCCTGTCCCTAAAGCAGGGACTGTTGCAGCAGCTTTATAGACCTACTGTGTGGGAATTACATACATACTATGTCAGGACTGCAGCCAAGGGTATACTCAGCACCCAGAGTAGCAAATGTGCCGACACATGGATTTCACTACAAGCATCCCAACCCACTGAGCCTGCTGGAGACAGCTCCACTCTTTTTGGTATCTGAGCTTGCTGGTTCCTGGCAGCTTGCATAGCTCGACTAGGCCATAGGCACAACCAGAAAAAAACCTACATCAGGCCCCACATCTGACCAGCACAGATTTAAGGATGGTTTCTAGTGCACTGACACAGTGGGGTAAGACAAGAGTGAACAGTCAGTGCTCGTAATGGACACATTTTCTAGGTACCTAAAAACCAGTAGCTAGGCAACACATGTATGCAAACTCTTCCTTCTCCACCACATTACCCTGCATAAAAATATCTATAGATGACTCCAATCCCACTTAGACTGACAGAGGCAGCTGCTGTAGCAGTCCTTTTAATCCTAAAGCAGAGTCTGTTGTCATTGGCATGAAATTTTATTGTGTTGGACAGGCAATACTAGACCTTAATTAAATAGGCTGCCCTCCTTGCAAAGCCAGACAGACTAGACTGGAGTCAAGCAAAGCACGTTGCTTGAGCCAGGGACCACCTGGCTGTAACTTCATCTAGGTGACAACATATGCTTTTGTGACCCTCCCTGAAAGGTTGAAAGCCGAGGCAAGCTCCCAGAGGTAAAGTGAGGATTTGTAAAGAGCAAGAAATCAGAGATGCTCTGTTCTGGGAAGGAATTCATTCCTTCTCCTTTCAGAGACCGAAGTTTTGTGGCCTTTGCCCTGATGCAGCGGATCACACTGGTTCAGGATTGATTTTTAAGGGAGCTGGTTGCTCCTCCGTTTCCACTGCAGAGAACAGCAGGGAGGGTTTAAACTAGACTCTCATAGTAGCTCCTAATATGAGTACCTCATTTTTCCTTCTCATGCTTGCCCTCACACTGTCTGAAATAAGGCACATTACTTTCTCAATACCAGAAAAGAGCAGTCATGTTGACTTCATGCATTTCCCTTAGCCACAACTCAGCTGCTTGCCTCTGTAGCATCTTGCTGCTTTGCTAAGATGTGCAACTATACAGCAACCTGTACAAATATACAGCAAGACAGCATGCTGCCCATCCACCTTGTCTTCTGCATGGAGATGTCTTGAGTGCAGATGCCAGAAGAGACTGCAGCATCCTACTGCTGAAGACCCAAGCTGAATGATGAGGACGGAGGAAGAGGAAGGAATGGACCCTAGTGCTCACTGTGGGGTATAACAGCCCCTCTAACTAGATCTGGCCAAAGAAACTGTGCAATTCCCAAAGAGTCACCTATTCAGCTGTAAACCTGGGTGTCAGATCAAGACATTGCACTCTCCAAACATCTCTGACCAATCCTTGGTCAGCCTTAGGCACAATGTGGCGCTCAGCCTCCCCCCCACCTCCGTAAAATTTAGGTCAGTTTTACCTCACTGTGGTAGAGGATGGGGGGAGGAACACATGCAGAAGTAGGCACCTTGTTGTTGTGTCTGTCTCTTAAGCTCTCCCATGGAGCATGGGTATACATCTGCAAACACAGATGCATGCATTGCAGAGACATGGCAGCAAAAACAATGCAAGACAGCATAAAGAGCAAAGGTTGGGTCTTAGGAGCACATGGGGCCGTTGTGACCTTCCTCCTGGGCTAATCAGCTCTGCTTTCCATTGTCTGGAGGAAGCAACGCACCGTGCTGCTGCTGGGACCCAAGCCCGCTTGCACGTCCTACCTCCCCATAAATGAGCAAAGGGCATTCCCTCGCACCGTTCAACCCAGCACAGCAGTGGCCGTGGCCTTTACTCAGGGAGCGGTTCTCTCAGCTCCGAGGCAATGAGCCCAGCCTTCCGTTACATGTTGTGAAATTCAGTAACTGGGTCACGACCCCACAGTGACATCCAAGTGCCCCGAATTGCCTGGCTGAGAGAGATACCACACGGACTGACACCATGGGATCAGGTGCAGCCACATAGGTGTGCACAACATGTTTCTGCTTCCTCCAGTTCCCCCACTTCTCACTGGAGTACCTGTAAGGCCAGGAGCAAACACACGACACTGGTGCAGGAATTTTTATTTTCTAGAAACACATACTTTATATTTTCCCAGTACAACGGAACTTCAGATGCGTAGCAGCAGCTACCAGATACCTACAGATCGCAGGGAGTAAACTCAATTATAGTTTTGCTAATGTGAGTTTAGCAAATAAGGCAAGTCGCTGAGCTGGCAGACCCTGGAGACTGACCAGTTGTGTTCTACCTCCACAAAGCAAAGTAGTACTGTGCTGGAAGCTCTCCACAGTAACCTGCTAACAGTTTCACCTGTGGGAGGAATGGGACGCTGTGGCCCTGCTTCCCATCCTGACACCCCTTTCATACCACTTGAGTCATCCCTTCACTCTCCCACTCACTGCAGCCCTGAACACTTCCCTTGTTCCTCCACATCCCTTCATCTCTGGCCATGCCATTTGCCTCTCAGACGAGACTGGGTTTGGGGGATGGAAAAGGAAAACAGGGATAGGATAGGCAGAAGCTCACAGATAACCCTTTACATTATTTTTCCTAAAAAAGCAGATTATTTCTCTTGTATATATGAAGCCAGGAAACAATGTTTTATCATGGATATCATTCTGAGTGCCTATATGCTGCCTGGAGTGACTCTTGGCCTCTCATCAAAGCTTTCCCACACATCTTGGATGGCCAGTTGTGAGATGTCCAAAACAGTGCTGGGGAAGCTACTCTAAGTTGCACGGCCAGGCCTCCATCGTGGTGTTCCTCTGTGCTTATGGCTAACCCTGGAAACCGAACTCCTTGTACTTGCTGGCCATATCATTTCGGAACAGCTCCAGGGCCTTCTTCATCGCAGCCTGGGCATCAGCCCCAAAGTCTGCAGCGTGTTTTTCAGCAATGACCTTGATAATGACTTCAGAAATGAACTGTGAGGAAGGCAAGAGAGAGAGAGAGAAATTGAAGGGACAGTCAAGGTTTATTTTCAGAAAAGTCAGACTAAGAAATAGGTTGCAGAGCCTAGAAATATCTCTGAGCTAATTCAGTAGCCCTTCCCACAGTCTCTGGAGAGACAGTGAGGTCTAGCATGCAAGGAGCCCGGGCTGGGCAGAAGAACTGGGCTCTATTCCTAGCTCTGATGCTGATCTGCTTCATGACCTTGAGTAGGCCATGGCCCTTCCCACTCTTTGTCTGCCTCATCCATTATGGCTGAAAACCGATGCCCTGTATTTGTCCAACACTTAGTTTTGTCAGCCTTGGTCTCCAGTGGATACTCCAGGGCTTACTCTAAAATTGTATGTCCCTCGTGTCCACTCACTGATAGTTCTTATGTAATGTAGTTTCCCAAGCATGCAGAGGCTGCATGGGCTGATTTATTATTGTCAAGGATTGTTCAGGCTTCATGTGGTGTTTGGAATGGGAAATCTAAACTTGGATATTCACATACCATTCGCATACCACGAGCCTTTTCTGTGGCTCCTCCTGCCTGTACACAGAGACTTCTGACTCGAGGGAGAGCTCACTGAAGTCCAACTAGCCATCGGTAAACAAAAGTGTGACTTTCACTTGGCTGTTTTGCACACATTCACTACACATCAGACACCAAGATTCCCTGTCCTTTTCCATACCTCCAGATATTTGACAGGGATTTTGTGCTTGGTTGCATGGGTTTGAGCCAGGGGCTTCAGCTCTGCCTCATGGTTACCCTTCTGCTTCAGGATTTTGCCCAGTTGGGTAAGGACGGTAACTCCATGTTTCTTTAGATCTTCAGAGCCCTTCATCTGATCAGGGGTCTTCAGGTTTTTGAACTTTTCAAAGCGATCCAAGGTCTCAGGGTGGTCCTGAAAGAGTCTGTGCACAAAAGTAGAGGGACTTGTGAGACTTGAGAGAGCTGTCATCCAGACCAGAGCTTCAGTACTGCTGGTCTAGGTATTTCAGAGTATATGGACAGGCAAAGGTGTGATAAACCTCTTCCCTCTCCAAAGAAAGCTCTTACTGAGTCCCTGTTAGTAGAGGCTACTTCAGCCTGGGAGCTCTGACACTTCAGACCTTTTCCATATTACCACCATTTACAATCATTCCTTTTAGCATGTATATAAGCCAGGGAAGCATCGGACCCTGTTCAGAATCTGGTTTAAGCATTTTTCATCCTTCCTCTGGCAGGCTGTTCCTCAATAGACAGAGTGTTCCTTCACACTCTGCGTGAAGAAGTTACCTTTCCATTTATTTCATTCAGGCTGCTTTTTGTCATGAACAAGTAATAAAAAGCCTCTTGTCTTTGGAGGGACAAAACTTCTGACATGTCTCCCTTTGAGTATTGTATCTACTTTAATCCTATCCCCTTACACATGTCCTAACATGATCCCCACTGTCTTTTTCCATTCCCTCTCGCAGTGACAGAGATACTGCCCTAAACGTGTCAGGACGGAGCAGGTGTCTATCTTCTTTTTTTTAAATAGCTTTGCTAACTCTTTGGCACCAGTCACCTGGGTTATGTCAACTGTATTAAGAAAAAGACAAGAGTCAAGGCTGGTCATGGTACTGAGCAGTGAGTTCTTGCATTCATCTGAAGGAAAACCAAAGCTAAAGAAAGCCACTTGTCTTCATTGACTTACTATCGCTGAGGAGTCCAACTATAGAGCCCTGGCTCTCACCGGGACCCTATTTCCAGCCCGTCTCTGCATTGATCAGGAAAGGACAGGTCTAGAAGCTTCTTGTTAAAAAAAAAACAAAAACAGGAGTAGCCTCCAGCCTCAGGTACCTCACATCTGGAGCTCAGAGGTGTTTGTGAACATCAGCTGGATATGAGATCTTTCTGTGCCTCCACCCTACAACTGCAGACATTGAGGAATTTGATTCCTGCCCTTTTTCCCATCCCCCAGCTCAGCTCAGCTGCCAGCAGTGTGGTTCCCGCATCAGGCACCTCAGAGAGTTCTTGGGAGCAAGCAGGTAACAAGAGCACAGGGCCTTTAGGCATGCTGGTGCCATGCCATGCTGTGCTATACATAGGCAATATGATCCTGAAATGGAACTGAAATCAAGAAGGTGAAAGAGTGTCTAAAAGACAGGCTAGTGTTGTTCTCGCAGCTTCCTCCCTGCTGCATTTCCTAGGAGACATGATGCAGCCACCACTGGCAAGCAAACTAGTAGGAAATTTCACTCTTTTCCTTTTGAGAGTCCTAGAGTCAAGGTGAAAAGGGGATACTCCCTGTTCTAATTATTGGGAGCAGTCTAATAATCAGTTGTTGAGAGACAACAGCTCCCTGGCAGAAGTGTATTTTCCACTATTATACACTCTGATGGGCATAACTCAACTAGTAGAAGCACCAGCAAAAGCAACAGGGCCCTACAGCTCACAGCAGCAATGTCTGGAGCTCCAGGCTGGGACCCCAGCCATTAAATGAGCCCCCCTCTCACGGTATAGTGATTGCTTGCTCTGCTCTCTGGAGGGTGCTGGTGCTGAGACTACTGGGTCCCATCTAGAATTGGACATCTTTCTAAGTACGTTACCATGAGGGCCAGATTCTCCACTGCACGATGTAAGTAAAGGTTAAACTACGCTAACAAATAACTAAAGCACATAGAAAACACAAGCTGTTCTGCAGCAAAAACATTCTGTAGATGAGTGATCAGTCTTTGGTGGCACTTCTTTTCAAAGGTCTCCAAAGGATTTCTGCACTCTACCATGTGCCAAACACATCACCATCGGCCTTTCCTTTTTTGCTGTATCTTCCTATGACACAGGTTGTGTCCATCGAGAGAGAGGAAAAAACCTTGCACCTTGTAATGAGAAGGAGTTATTTCTAAAAATCTTCCTCTGTTGTATTTGGCTATGGCTGAGTAATGTCTGCCAAAGATTATATACTCCCGAGACTCTTGAAATTTCTTCTGAGGAGTATTTTTTGGTTTCCTTTGGAAGACATCCAGCTGAATCAGTATTTTTTAAACATATTCCCAGGATGCGACATTTACCTAAGCAGTCTTTAACAATGCACATGCAGGCACTTTTCTCAACTAAGAGATGCTGGGCTTCCCCTGCCTCTTTCCTCCCTCAGAAATTCCTTGAAGGTAAAAAAAAATGACCTGAGTTGGCTAGGGAGCACAAAGCCATAGGCGAGAGGGGTGTCATCTATTTATTTAAAGCTGTGCTCTGCCCTGTGATACCTACAAGAAAACTAGTATTACCTTTTCAGCTGGAAACTGCTTTTACTGTCTCATGGCACTTCCAGAGCCAAAGTAGACACCTCACAGAGATGGTGGGGAGGGCTCAGGTTCCTGCTACCCCTCCATCGTGCCTGCTTCAGACTGCACAAGGGGAGAGCCATCACATTGCCACCCGGCCACCTTCACCTCTCCCTTCCCTTTGAATGGCAGCTAAACTGGGCCGTGATAAAGAAGGTAATTTAAACAGCCCCCTGCTTTGGCTTATCTTTGAAAAAGGTTTTTAAAGCTTTTCAATGGATTCACCTGGTGGCATGGGTTCCTCCTTCCTTTGGCCATGCTTAGGCTTGGAACCCCCCCAAGCAGGTGCCAAATCCCCACTGCTCTCCTCAGCATCTGTGTCATTCCAGCACAGCGTATTGCGTACAAGCTGAGGGGGAGATCTAGAGAGAGTCTCCTCCAAGTCCCCACCCCTGATGGTCTTTAAGGACAGCCTAGGATCCAAGGTCGACCAAGGTGGGTTTTTTTTCCACTCTGTAGCCCCGAGATCCCTTCCAGATCCTCCTTCTGTGATCACAAGGACCACGTGTGGATAGGGGTCCTCTCAGATGGAGACTTCACAAGCACTCCCACTCTGACACCAGAATCATGGAGGAGGGAAGTAAAGGGAAGGATGTGCCTCGTTTCACACCCAGATCTCAAATTCATCATCAGGAAGTGGACAAGTGTTACCACCCAGATTTCTGGCCAGAAAGCAGGATGGGCAGGGCTTTGCCAGGTGAGACTAAGGTGGAGAGAGGGAAACACTCAGGTACTTCACAGTTAATTTTACTGAAATCATAGATTCTGAGAAAATTGTCGCAGAGGTGGCTTCCCTCTCCTTTCCCGCATCCCCACATCCTTGCTGCAGAGCATCTGGAGGCCCAGGACACACGATTTGCTCCAGCGTTTCTCGCCGCAGTGCTTGGGCAACAAGGATCCAAAGCAGAGCTTTGCCGGCAGAGGGAGTGACAAAGTCCCACCATCTTTTGAAAACACCACTGGCCGGCTCCTGCACCCGTTAGACAGATGGAAAGGCAAAAGCACAGCCACTTTACACAGTGAATAATTTTTAACTCAGAAACCATAGCAACGGTAAAACTACCACCCTACAAAAAAAGAAAACAGCCTGTTGAAACTAAACACCGCCAAACACAATTCCCCCTGTCAAGTATACAGCTTCCTTGGTCTCTCCTCAAAACCTCTCAGCTTTACTCTTAGAACCAAAGCTTCTTGCCTACCTCATTAAAACTGCGTGCCCATGGCCGGCGAGGTCGGACTCCCCCTTCCCCCAGACAGTCAGGACCCGCTGCCATTCCTGATCACTGAGCCCCATGGTTCACTGAAGTCAGGCCCCAAGTGCTCCCCACAGCCGTTTGTCTTTCCCCAAAGGTTGGCTGGAGAGCTCACTCGTGGGATTTATAGCCCCTGCTCACAGACCTTCACCTGTCAATCGTCAGCTGGACGTCTTGGTCTCTTTCAGGCTTGTCTAACCTAATCAGCCTCCCTATTTTTTTCCTAGGAAGCTATTTTGGGTCAGGTGCTATTGTGGGTGCCACTGATGGCATCATTTCTGCTTTTCGTATTGGACTGGCACATGTCCCACTCTCAACAGAAGGGGCACTGCCAAAACACAGTGCCAGGAGCCTGTCCCAGGTTCCCGATGACCTAGAGACAGTGCCAAGCTGTATGCTAGCAGTTTCTTGAAGAGCAGCTTCATCTGCAAGGCCACCCCCCCCCCCTCTCCCCCGACCTGCCAAGGGCAGGCAAGAGAAAAGGCTGGGACAGCCAGCAGCATCAGCTCCGTCGCTCCAAAGCCCTTTCCTTTCCCATGCTGATCTCACTCTCCTTTTCCCCTGGGGTAGCCCACACAGCATTTACTAACGGAGAAGAGCATAGTGTTTGAAGAGATAAGTCCTTAAGAGCTAACCATACTCAAAGTGACCCAGTCATCTCCCCAGCCTCTTGCAGGAGGGAGGAAGGGGATAAAAGTTATATGGGAGCCAGTTACCCTGCACCTGCTGGCGAGAGTCCTTCTTTCTGCCTGCCTCTCCGGGGAATGCCCAGGATTAGCTGCTGGCTGGGCCTGGATGTCGGAGCCAACAGACGTACAGCTGAGCCTGGAGAACAATTTGCAGCAGGCCAGAGACACAAGGGCACAGCAGGGCTTCACTCAGGTTAAGGTCTCTGGCTACCTCTGTCAAGTCAAATGCCAGTATTGGAAGGAAAAGACACTGGGATGACAAACAATGTGGGTATGTTTTGGGACACCTGACAGATTTTTTTTCTCCCGCCCCATCAGGACTGATAGCAGCCTGGCACACCAGTGAGGTGATTAGACCCTTCCAGGGGATGACAACAGTCAGAGCAGAGCCTGATAACAAAGGCCAGCTAGTGCTGCGGTCTCGAAGCATGCAACTACCTCTGGACATTTCCAAAGGGACACACACCACAGGCCTTGGCAGGCGAGAAATGTCAACCGGGAGCTGAAGACACCTGCCTTGGGTCTCAGGAGAAGAGTATGCAACCCCATGGTCCCTAGAACAGTCCTGCAGGACCTGAGGTGCATTGCTGCCTCTGCATATATCCAGCTCTGCAACACCAGAATAGCTTCCTTGCTCCATCTTTGCAAAGGGACGGAAGTGACCATGTATGAGGGTGATCAGGCAGCAAGGAGGATGGAGGTACAGAGCCTCACGCACCTCAGAAACATACTGGTTTAAAGGGAATAGTTTGGGCAAAAGCCAATGGAGGTGTCAGCTGGTATCCAAGCCTAGAGGTAAGGGAACTTTGGCCATTACATTTTGTAAACCTCTGTCAGCCAAGTCAACCTGCGACCCTGCAGTCCTTCCCTTCTCTCTCCTCTATGCACCAGTTCGCTCCACATTCAAAAATCCACATCCAAGGCCAACCTTTCGTCTTGATTTACCTGCTCAAACACCAAGCTACCACCAGTTACCCAAACTAAGCTAAACTGATGGAAGAGAGCTTAGAACCCATCCAGCTCATTGCTCATAGTGTTCTCTACAGGGCAGCACTGAGACAGGAGAGATCACATACGTGCTGCCTCACTCTCCAAGTACTTAGAGCAGTAAACAGGCATTTGCACCATCCCAGGCTCGGCCTTGGGTAGGATCCTGAATACTGACCTTACCGTTTTACACACGTTTCAGACACGGCAGAAATGTGCTCCTGGTACATGAGAGGCTGCTGCTTATGCACCAAGCTCTGTCATATTCTCCAAGTTGAAACTACTCAGTTTTCATAATAACTTCATTTGAAGATGGTCGACTCCCAGCTCTCTGTATATTTCCCCAGGGCTCTGAAGCCCAGAGTCCTGGTACGGACATTAATGCTAAATGGTCAAAAGGCTTAAAAAGAGTATGGGATTCCATATTGCTCTTTTTACAAGTGGAGTAGTAATGAAATGAAATGAAACCGTAAGCTCTTCTCCCTAGAGCTTAAATAAATTGTCTACAGAAATACTGAATGCTTTATAGTGTGCCAGACCGTGCCTCAACCCTGCAGCCGCGAGAAGGACGTAACATTTTAGTGTCTACAGGTCTCTCCTCTTCCCCTCGGGGCAAAATCTATCACTCACACAATCATCTCGATAAACAGAAACTACAGAGAGCCAAAGCATCGGCTTCCCCCCTACAAAAAGCGCTGGGTGGTCCAATAACCTATTTCAAACAACACTGGGCACGCGTGTACGACTACACCTACGGCACTTTCGCTAAACAAGCACACAAAAAAGCACCTTTAACGTTTTTGGTCGCGTTTCAGTGTGCATCGCTGGCGTGATGCGGGTGCTGTCGCCTCGCTGCAAACCCCTCCAGCTGGACCGGGACCCGCCTCGGGGCTCACCCCGCCCCGGCAAGAGGCGCC